CTTTGAATATAGACTGAAATTTTATCATTTCAGAATTAATCATGGAGCATTGACTTTTTCTTTGCAGTTGTCGGCGGTGGAAAGACATGTATTCTGGACTCATCTGTAATGTAGTCTTCTTTGGGATGTAATGGACTCATCTATTGTATTCTATAGACTGGAATGTAGTCTGCTGAGCATAAGAATTGTATTTTGAGTCACAGCGGTCATAAAACAATTAATGCACGCAATATAGATTGAATTAGGCCGATAAACCGCCCGATAAGAGCTAAACCGATACCAATCCGCCCGATATCTTTTCGGGTGGCTAGCGGATTAATACATTTAAAAGCCGATAACCGATAAGTCAAACCGTTAAGAGTAAATAACCGCCCAATCCGCCCGATAAGCAGCCCTACGCAGCAACATGTCCACCTCTTTTGTATTTGGCCTATTTTGGTGGTGGTTCAACTCGTTGGCTGATTTACGCAAATGACCCCCACTTTTAAGAGTCAGTTTGGATTGGCTTAAAAAAAGTGACTTTTAAGCACAAGTGCTTAAAAGCAACTTTTAAGTGCTGGAACTTGTTTTATAAATAAGCAGTTACTTGTTTGGATAAAAGTGCTAAAGCTTACAAAAAGTTGTTGAAGTGTTTGGTAAACAGGTGCTGGTAAGCACTTTTTTCTATTAAAAAGATAAAAATATCCTTAAAGTCGTTAACATTATAAAGGAGCTGATTACTATAATATATTTAATTATGAATTAATGCAAATAAAAAATAATTTATATTTTAATTTAATTTCAATTTAATTTATTACTTTAAATAATTTTTATAAATATAATTCTTGAATGCTCATTTATCACCACTTTCAATCAAGTAAACTTCCATAAAAGTCTCAACCTATTTAAAATACCAAATTATTTTTGTTGAATTCCTCTTTCCCTTTTTGTCCATTTACTCTTGACAAATACATAGAAGAAATTTCTCTCTTAATAAAAATATTTCAATAAATTTAACAAATGTCTACTAAAAGCTATAGATTTCGGGCATGCTAATATTATGCGTCATGTTTGTTCTTTTGTCCTAAGAGATTTAGGAAACACCGTACGCATTTAAAATCGGCATTGAGTAAATACAATTGGGTTTAATGAATGAAAAAAGCAGTTATGGGTCCTTGATTCTAATACGATAATTAGCAACAATAATGGGTCCTTATTTTTAATATGTTTTTTTGCTAACTAGTAACTCATATAGAAGGTAGGCTGTTCAACGTCATGTTTTGAGTCAGAAACAATGAGGATTGATTTCCACTTAAATGCTCGAGGAAAAGTGCAGAAAAATGGAGATGAAGCAGAGAGGAAGAGGAAATAAGAGGAATGGTTGTCTTCAGAAGTGAAGGAAATAGAAGTAAAATGTTTTAGGGTTTCTTTGACCGAGGATAATTTTATAAAAACTTATAATGGACAAGAAAGTAATTTTATTGGTCAAACTAAAATGGCTTTTAAGCCAAAATAGGAAAAGTGGGGGTGAACCAACTTCACTTTTTAGCTTTTTTGAAGCTGCTTTTTCTTTTTTGCCAAACACTTCAAAAAATAAAAAAGTGCTTAAAAGCTAGTTTGACCAGCTTTTAACCCCATACAAACACCCTCTAAATCTTGTTCCTACTTTAGAAAAGTTTGTGCAAATATAGTCATTGAAAAATTATTCCGACAACATTAGATTCAAGTCTAATATTTGCTAATTTTCAGTTAGCTTAACCTTAAATACATCATTTAGATTGTGGTCTAACAATTGCAACAACTTGAAAAAACTAAGATCTTGGTCTAATATTTACTCATAAAATAATCTTTAGATCATGGTCTGAGTTGCAAGAAAAATAAAAAATGATCATTTACTAACAACTGATACAAAAAGGGATAATTGGAGAAGTTTTCACCAACTCGTTAAGTTGCAGCCCAACCAGTTAGTTGTACGCCCGAACCTAATCGTCCTTGTCCAGATTCATATCCAAATTTTTGTACTAACAGTTACAGATCGAATTTAAATTCTAATCAGCAACTCAACTTGTCTCATGGCTTACCAAAAATAGAAGTAACTAAAAGTTGATCAAATAGATAAAGAAATGAAACACTTAAATATCATTCGAAGGGTGAAACGACAGATGTTGTAGCACTAGCAATACGACACCAAACATTTATCGTCTAAACTAGTCAGATTAGTCTTTCATACATTGTCTAATGCATCCATTTTCACTCCCCTTTTCCTATTTTTGGCAAGAAATAGAATCATTTATGACTAATTCATTTGAGAATAATAGGCACGATACTATACAAAACATTGCATTGATTGATTTAGCAGCTGTAACGAGAAAAACGATGCCATTTTGAGAAGAATGCAGCGCCGCAGAAGCTGCAGTCATACGTCTAGAAAGAGGAATAGTGGCCCTTTTACCAGAAATGGCAAAGTTATGAAACGAGTCAATTTTAGAGAATAAAGCAAAAAAGATTGAGGAATTGAGAATGAAAGTGAGGATCAAGAATATAGGGAAAGCTTTACTTTGCTGAGAATTACTACCACTTTTGTAATTGTGGCTTTCCTAAAAACTAAAGACGTGGCATCACAGGGGAGAATTGTTAATTCTATACTAGAAAGAGAAAATGGATAGACCCCATCTGCTATTTCTGCTACTGGTGTTGGTTAGCACTCGAGAAAGCATCAACACGTCTTAATGCTGTTTGCTGCCACTGATTCTCCTTTCTTTAGATTCCTTCCTCTTAGAACGACATATGGCACATTTTTACTCTATTGGTTCTATTTTATGTAGTAATATTTTTTTATTAATCCTTTAAAAAAAAAAGACATATTTATATATTTAAAAATAATTTAATTTTAAATTTTTTTACTTATCCCAATGACCAGAGCTGACCTACCTTTTGGATAGGGGTCACCGGTCCCTGTAATTTCGGAAAAAATATATATGTATATATATATGTATCTTAAATAACACACATACATATATATATTTGTTGATATTTTAAAATTCAAAACTTAGGCAGTTGCATTGGTCGATTTTTGGGAGGAGGGCACAACTTGAATTGTTGGCATTAATCACCGTAAGTTCTTTTTTTCTGAAGAAGAAAGTTTTTCTTTCTTTTTTTATCGTTTTGGTATAGAATCTTGGATACAATAACAGTATATTGTCTACAATTNATATATACCGTCAATACAAATCACTCTAATACTTGCACACCGTATTTACTTCAAATCAAATAATTTATCCTTAGCATGAACAGGGTAAATAGCTGTCTAAACTAAACCTTTTGTTACATTTTATAGTTTAGTTTGTTTAATTATTACAGATTCTTTTTCATGCTAAAACACGGCTACCGAATTAACAAAATAAGAAGTGATGTCAATTCAAGCATACTAATTAAACAGTTACGAATTATGTTTCATGTTTCATTAGAGTAGGCAAAATATTTAAGGACATGCTCCACATACCCCTATAATAGTTGTTAGGATCGGGAACCCAGGTAGTGTTGAATATAGCCAAACAACGGTATAATGACAATGAAAATTGATAACAATGACAATTAAAGTAGATAAAGAAGATACAAATTTAACGTGGTTCGGTCAAAGTGACACACGTCCACAAGCGGAGAGGAGCAATTTACTATAACATAAAAGTACAAAAGAGAGTACAAAATTAGAGTAAACACTCTAATTAATCCCAAATACCCTAAGAGAATAACCTCACAAGATCACTCCAAAGAAAGGGTTCACACAAGTGCTTTCCAACACTTACTCTCATACAAAACACTCTTAATAAAGTAGGAAAAGAAGAAACAAAAATTGAAGACAGGTCTTGTTGGTATATTTTCAAATGAGTAGAAAGTCTCATTATATAGGAAAACAAGATAGAAATGCTTGACCAACAATTGGTCACATCCTCTCAAAATACAAGGTCATTTATTTGGCCAACAAGGCCTTAAATAAAAGGCTCAAAATGTGCCAACAAGGCCGGCAAATTAAAAAAACCCTAAAAATAAGGTATCTTTTACGGCAGTAAATGGGGCCAAGAGTTTGTAGAAGATGCCTTGTTATTACCAAATCTAACAAAAGCATCCTTGCTGAGGGAACATAAAAGTTGTACTTTTGCTTCCACAAAAGATGCATTTTCCATTCCTTATTTGTACCTCTAAAGCTGAATTCCATTTGTCTAAAAATATTGTTTTCAAATTCAAAAGGCTGTATTCCTCATTCTAATAACCAATGGACCCAAAGGCATTAGAAGTCTCATGCATTATTTAAGGTAGTAAAATATACAAATAAAATACTAAGATATGACCGAATGTAGGCTCCAAAAATTCGAATATGTCAAAGTAGTAAGTTTCATAAATAAGTAACAAAAAGAAAAAAGATAGTAATTTTATCAACACTCTCCACATATTTCCAGTGCTATTAGTTCACATTTTTAATAAACAAAATCATATGTCAGATATTTCACGGGTTTAAGTTAAACTAAAACTATCCCTTTCGTTCCTTTTTATGTGTTACTATTACTATTTAGAGAGTTAAAGAAATTTTTTAAAATATTTTGATTTATAAACTATCACTACTTATAGTACTTCTTGTTAGCTTCAAACTCTTTAACTATTCTCATATATGAATTTATATAGAAAGATTAAGTACTTTAACGTTCGTACTTGGAATCTTTTCTCATAAAATGAAATGTACAGTGGGATTAATGGACTCTATAGAATGAGTTTATTAACTCTGATATAAGAGCGATGGGAAATGAACGAAGCACAGAAAAGAAATTTATGTTGCCCACTATCTACAGTCTCTAGTGGTTTGTCTTTCCGTCATGAATTTACTTCATACAAACATTCCTATTTTCCGTATTTAGGCAGCCTTTAATTTGTGTCACGTTGAATTATTCCCGAATCTTTGAACTTCACATCCAAACCCTTCTTTCTCTCTTTATCTCTCTCTTCCTCTCAAGTCCTATATATAATTTTCCCCCACAAGTAACATTCTTCAAACCAGCTCGCAGATTTTTACTTCAATAATTAGTTTACCTTCGCCAAAGAGAAGAAGCAAAAAAGGTTGAATTGTAGTGCTTGTGAAGATGACTTCTAGGGTTGTTGAACCACTTGTTGTTGCACGAGTGATAGGAGAAGTAGTAGACAGTTTCAATCCAAGTGTGAAAATGAATGTGATATACAACGGGAGCAACCAAGTTTTTAATGGTCATGAAATCATGCCTGCTGTCATTGCTGCTAAACCTCGTGTCGAGATTGGTGGCGAAGACATGCGATCTGCTTACACCCTTGTAATTTTCTTTTATTAATTCTCCTTAAAAAACGTACCTATATATGTAGTAGTACCATTGTCTTAATTACTCTCTCTAATTTTGAGATTTTCTGTTATTTTCTGAACTTTCAAGTATTTCTGATTGTTGCCTTTGTTTTTCTTTTGGAAAGATCATGACCGACCCAGATGTTCCAGGTCCTAGTGATCCTTACTTGAGGGAACACCTCCACTGGTAACTATATTATAAAGTATATGCTATCTTTGATAAAAGAGCATGTAAACAAATCTTTTGCATCAGTTATGGGTATCACATTCACGTTAATCAGCTTTCGCATTTGTTTTTGGATTTTCAGGATTGTTACAGATATTCCTGGTTCTACTGATGCCTCTTTTGGTAAGCAAATTGACTATTGGTTATGATGGTAGCTCGAAAACATAAGTAATAATGGGAAAATTTTGTTGAGTTGTGTCGTCATCACATCTAACAGTTTAGGTGGTAAGAGAGAGCACAATTACTTTTATTTAGTACTACTACTTAATTATGTCAACAACACCTTCCCTAAAGTATGTGAGCCTAAATCTTTTCATGGCCAAACACGTGGAAATTCATTTTCATATTGAAGTTATTAAAGAGAGGACACTGTTTATGTGCTTAAGTATATAAGTTTTCAAGAAATATAACGTTAAAAATTCAACTATACAGGAAGAGAGATAGTGAGCTATGAGAGTCCAAAGCCAGTGATTGGGATTCACCGATATGTGTTCCTATTGTATAAACAAAGCGGAAGGCAAACAGTGGAACCAGCAGCAACAAGAGACCATTTCAACACTCGAAGGTTTACGGCAGAGAATGGATTGGGAAGCCCAGTTGCTGCTGTCTACTTCAATGCCCAGAGAGAAACTGCTGCCAGAAGAAGATGAATTAAACCAATTACTGCATCATAATATAAACATGCAAATAATCACTTTTAGCTTAATTAGACTGTTAACGGGCTGGAAGTAGTAACTCCTTTAATAACTATTTATCTATTAAAACACGTGATTTAAATAAGTTCTGCACTTTGATACTATATATATATATAAGCTAAGGAACAGCCTGCGGAGAACTCTGGTTAAGTATATATATAGTACAACTTTGTACTTACCAGAAAAGTAGGTGAATGATTAAGCGTAGAGTGTCAATCTTCATGCATCATGCAGATTCTGAGTTTTCCCACCAATTAGGTTGCCCCTGTGTTCCATTTGTTTGTGGTATCTACTCGTACTTTACTTTGTATTAGTTGTTTGATGTATTAAATTGAAATAAAATGCATATATCAAATTCAGTATTGATGCTATAACTTATGTTTGGTTGTTATTTTAAGAGTTTAAGTTTAAGAGCATGCACGTATCTCTTTTAAGATCACGTAATTGTTTTTTTAAAAGCTCCTTTATATATATATATATATATATATATATATACTGCTTATCTAGCTGACCATCTCTTACTTATTATTCCGTTTGTTTCTAATAATTATTGTCATTTTAATTTTAAATCTATAATAAGGGACTTCAACTGGATTTTTCATATTTAGAAGAAAATTATATTGATTACTTTATCTTACGTCGTATTGGACCATAATAAATTTATTCTCAAAAGTGTTACTATTTATTAGTATAAAGATTGATAATATCGCATATGATAAGAAAACAAATTAACTTATGGTTCTTAACACAACTATTTCAATCAAGTGAATAATGTGATTTTGGTCAATGATATGTTAATTGAAACCAATGTTTATTTAATTACAACTGAAAAAACCAATGTATGAACAAGAGAGCAGACGGGGTCATAAAAAGTAAATCAGTCGAATAGCTAGTCCTTCCTTTTTTTCTCCTTCCCCATTTTAGGTTTTAGAAGAGTTAGTTTATTTATATACAATGAAAAGCTCGTATAATCCATGGACGACGAGTGGAGTTCATAAAAGAAACCAAAGAAAGGTGTGCGACAAAGTTGTCCCCTCTCTCCATATCTCTACTTACTGGCTGGGTGCAGATAACACTGTAATAATAACAAATAATTTTTTTATATATTATTCGACCTATAAAACGATTTTATATATGATTAATCATAGATGTTGTTTGATATTTGGCCTGGGTTGTGGGTCAATGGGGGCTGGCTCGACCCTTTAAAAAGAGATAAGTATTATTGCACATATAAAAATAATTAAAAAGTGAAGTAGTTAATTTTTTTCCTTACAACTAGTATTTCTCTTCTCTAAAGATAGAAGACCCAAACGATTTCTTCATCACTTCTTTGAACATACAAATTCTTTTTGTTTCTCCCTTAGACACACAAAAAATTAATCAAAATATTTAGTTCGTGGAGAGTAGAACTTTGTTTACAAGAGAAATGAAGGACACTTTGGATAACTATCTTGGTAGCAATTTAATGATTTTTGTTGCGTTAAAAAAGTACACAATTGATTAATTTTGCTTCATAGTTTAGTATTTCCTTGGTATCAGAGCATGATTTGGATTACTCCACGAGATTTGACTTGGGATAATTTTTCTTTATAATGTCTATTCTAACAGGTACATAATTTGTTGTTTCATGTCTTATGATTTATTCTTTCATATGCCGAGATCAAATTATGATCCATAATAATTTTTTAAGGTAATAAAGAGCCTCTATTATTACTACGTGTATTCTATGTTATATGACATTACAATTTAAAAATTAAATAATTTTTTCTATTACTACTTTTTGATGTATTGTTTAAATAGTAGTAATTATAAAAAATTATAAGCGATAGTCCATTTACATTTAGTTCATAATTATCTAAACTTTATTTTGAAATATGACGAAAGTCAACGTCTGAATTGAGATCAAACTTTTAAAACTTTGGCTCTCATGTTACAAGCTGGAATCAACATGGATTTGAGAAGAAGATAACTAGGGCTCGAAGTTTCATAGAAAGAGAGAACTAGCAGCTTTCTTATTTCATCTCTGTAAAATAAATATTCATCTGTGTAAAATAAAATATGGGCCACTATTTTTATATGACCCGACTCAGTCTACTGAACTAAAATAAATAAAACGTGGGCCAAACCCAAATACACTAAGTATACTAACTAGCCCACATCAGTACATTCACTAAACTCAACACCCCCCTCCCCCCCCCCCCCC